TTTTTTTTTTTATGCATCAGCTGTTTCTCTGTCTGCAGTGCTGGGTAGTAACTGATTACTGGATTACGTAATCAGATTCCAAAAGATTTCAGTTTGAAGTAAATATAATGTTTAATAGAGGTCGACCGATAGTGGATTTTACCGATACCGATCGCTAGGTTGGCCCACACTGCGATTAATCGATTAATCAACTGATAATTTTTTTAATGGATACTGTACGAAAATTTAAATAGTGCATTTATATATATATATATATATATATATATATATATATACTTTGTGCATGAATAAAAATATTAATATTAAATATGAATTATATATTGATCATTAAAGCTGCAGTCCGTAAATTTTGCCTCTTTGTCGCATCTCTGTTTGAACACCAATTGCAGCTGTTTGCGGAATTATCTTTCTTGCGTTGGTTGTGCGGCGGCTCGGCTCCAGCGCGGATGAATCTAATGTTTTGAGGAGTATGTGTGGCAGTCAGTCACCGCACTGGTGTGGATATTGTACTTTGCACTCACAGAAGGAGGTTTCGGAAGCAATACACATATGAACATTCCTTAGGTGCATATGGAAGAATGGAGATGATTGTAACCCTCTTGGAATGGCAGAAGTCTGCCGGGGAAACACGGGCTCAAGGCTATACCATGGACTTTACCCATATGGGATCCACTTAGGTCTTACGTATGGAACCCTGCCTTCTACCGGTTCTCAAGGATTCAACGAGTGAAGGCCTGGCGCCAGACACTCCGCCTCGTCTGGCTGCCGAGGGGACAGAGGAACTCAACAGGGTCTACTATATGGACTCTCTGGAGTGGTTTTAGCAAGCCGACCCAAAGCCGGGGCCTCTCAGTGCTTCTACCCGTTTGAGGTGAGAACACAGGAGGATACCGGCTCCACGCGAAGGCTATAGAATCTAGCGAACGTGTTAGGGGTCGCCCAGCCCGGCAGCCCTACAGATATCCACCAGCGAGGCGCCACGAGCCAGCGCCCAGGAGGATGCAACACTTCTGGTTGAGTGAGCTCGCAACCTGAACGGGCAGGGCACACCCTGTGCCTGATAAGCCAGGGTGATGGCATCCACTATCCAGTAGGCCATCCTCTGCTTAGAGACGGCATTCCCCTTCTGCCGGCCTCCGTGACAGACAAAGAGCTGGTCTGAGGTCCTGAAGCTTTGCGTCCGGTCTACGTAGCACCTTAAGG